GACAAATCAAGTCCTTATCTTCATATTACAACTCCAACAGAACTTTGGCTCCTTGAGATCAGAAAGCTTACCTTCCTCTGAACTCACACAACTTGTTACCTCTACCTCTCATTGGGCACTTATTCATACACTACATTATTTAATCTCGTAAGTGGTTTTCTTACACTATTATTTGATTTTTCACGTGTTTATATGCCTTTGTTTCTGGCAGTTCCTACTGAAGCTTAGTCCTCAATAAGCATTTGCTGAATTATTATTATCATTTTGATAATAGAGTCATAGCCTTTCTTTTGATTCCTATTGTGACCCAGGTTTAATATTTCTCAGCCAAATAGCTCAGGTGAGGTGGAATAGTCTATAACAACCATAAATAAAACAAATTGGACTGATCCACAAAGAGTTCAGACTCATAACCTTGGCCTTCATAGCACAGTGTACTATGTGGTCAACAAAGTATAGACCAGTGGTATGTCAAATTGGGAGTGCATAAAGCAGTACACAGAGCTCCACAGCAGCCAGGTAGGAACCTAGTTCTCACCAGGGTATGAATCATAAGGGAGCTCCCAGGAACAAAGATGCAGTAGTGTAGGACACTAAGCATGTTTGAGGGATACAAAACCGACTAACGGTGGCTACTGCAGTGAAAGAAAGTTGCAGAAATCTGCTGGGAGGAAAACTGCAAGCTTATTTAGCAAAAGACCCGATTTTAGGGTCCATTTGTGTTATATCTCCCAAGAAATCCCTTGTACCGATTAAATAAGCATCTGGAGCTACTGCAGGCTCCTTCTCTGTCAGTGTTTATAAAATGAGATCTAATTTCTCTGGGAAACTAATGATCATCCTAGCCACTTTGTCTTATAAAATAATTTAATATTAATAGAGTGATGGTTAATAAAAATTTAATGCAATTCCCATTGCTGCAAATGAATGCCACAGCAGCATCCTTTATGCAGCTTGTTGGCTTTGCCTAGTCTTTTTCTCAAGAATAAACTCTTTGAACCACATACTATATAACTCACTTTTATCTTAGTACCTAGTTCTAATTTAGCATCCAGAAGCCATGGCTTCCATGATTGAGCATTTATGGGACTCCATCCATCCCTCATTTCTCATTAAAAATTTATTTTTCTTTCCTTCTTTTTCTTCCTTCCTTCCTTCTTTCCTTCCTTCCTTCCTTCCTTCCTTCCTTCCTTCCTTCCTTCCTTCCTTCCTTCCTTCCTTCCTTCCTTCCTTCCTTCCTTCCTTCCCTTCCTTTATGTTTCAGGCATGACTTTGCCTGGTGCTGAGAGTAACATGGCAAATGATAGTATATAAAATGTGATGGCTTCACATGCCAATTCTATCTACTACATTTATGGTTGCAGGATCAGGTAGACAAAGCCAGTGTGGTTTCCAAGTTGACCCTACCAGAGGACACACACACAATACACACACAAGCATATATACACATACATACACATGCATGTATGTATGTATCTCTCCAGGAGAATCTGGTTTAAGGGAAATAGTGAGTAAACGTGAAGCTGCACCTTCTTAACTGAGCAAGAGGGAAAATAAAAATCTGACTCACTAATTACAAGTCACTAGAACTTCCAAAAATACTGACATAGTATTGGGAAAAGAACAATGAAGTAAGATAAAAGAGAGTTGGGTTCAACAGTCCTTGCTCTACCACTGATTCATTATGTGATTATGGATCAATCACTCTGTGCTTTAGGTTCCTCATCTATAAAATGGGCTAATAATTCCTCATTTATTTATCTCAGTGGGCATCATATGGATAGGGAATAGACCTTCTATTGCATTGGTATAGGAAATACCGGGTGAGAAACTTTCTTTAACCATGTAAGTTGGCATCTTCTCAGTATCTTGGAATCTTAGAAAGCATTTGATAGCAGAGAAGTAAAACTTGCAGTGCAAAACTCCTGAGTGCAGCCCAGTCGAGTTAAAATGGAATTAGGGAACATTAAACAAAATAAATGAAAATACAATAAAATATAATACTAATTTTTGTTTTTTTAAAGTCATTATGCAGCTCACAGGGATCCATGTCTATTTGAGTTTAACCCCACAATAACCTAGAACATGGAGAAAAAAAATTATTTGCCTGGCATCACATATTAATTAAGTGTTAGAGGCAAGCCTGGAACCCAAATACTCCTGCTTTCAGGACCAGTTTTCTTATCCACTAAGTTGTTTCTCCTGCCGGTTAGATAATGGGAATAAATGAAATGATAGAATACTAGAATGTTTTGACTAAGGATGTTAAAGGTCATCTAGTTTAGCTTTCTAATTTTATAGATGAAGCAAGTGAGTCGTCAGAGTACTGACCTTGCAAAGAGTTCCACACATTCTCATTGCTAGACACTGGCCTAGTGAGGACTAGAATGTGGGTCACCTTTGCACTCTCATTCTGGTGCTGTTCCCTCAGTTCCACCCCTGTCCTATCATACCTAATTTCTTTATGGCTTTATCCCCACCATGAGGATCCATATTTAGAAGAAGTCCTGAAGGATTCTTTACATAATTTTTATTTGCCACACTTTCCCTGCTAGCATGTAGATACTTTGAGGGTAGAGGTCTTTTCTTATTCATTTTTATTTCTCCCACAAAACTCAATATGCCCTTCTAGCACAGCACTTTCTGTTTAGAATATGCTCAGTAAATAATTTGTTATTATTGTTTTCAAATACTAGTTCTCCCTATTTTGCCCAGGCTCAAAGTATAGAAGTTATTTATGGGCTGAATGCCAAATTACTTATCAGCCCAATCCCACTCTGACTGGCATGGGAACTCTGACCTGTTCCATTTCTAGCTTGCCCCTCCTTCAGCATCCTGAGACCCTCTTCCTTCTACAGGATCATACTGAACTTAGTGCATACACTTGTTTGGCTTAATCTGTGAGCTCCTGAGTGAAGAAATCTGCCAGCCTCAGTTTCCCTAGTAGCAGGGGTTACAGGTATGTACTACCATGCTCACCTTAGTAAATGATTGTTAATCTAAATTACTGAATTATTCTGGTCTAATGATATAAAGTTGAATAGGAGAAGAGTTGAGAGGAAGGAAGAAAAAAAAGATAAATGTGGGCATATCCTATTCAGACTCTTAGTTGAAATATAAGATTTGTATATCTAATTTTTTAAAAGCAAGTTTTTCAAGTTGCTATGTGGCTACACAGTATAGCTTTAATTATACCACATTTCACTCTGATCAGTATCTGTGACCTAGGCAATTTGGATACTCATGATTACGTATGCAATAAAAATGAACACAAGTAATCCATATGCATTCGTGTACATAGAACTGAAAAGAAAGAGTCAGAAAATTTTCAAACTGATAAAAGGTAAAATAGTTAAATGAAGAAGATATTAAAACGCTTATTTCAAGGAATGATATTGAACCTTTAGGCAAACACACTTTCTGTTAAGTTCTAGACCACATTTTGTCAAATTAGGTAATAAGTCTCAAAAACTCAAAAAATAAATTAAAATATTAAGATATTAATAAATATAAATCACCAAGTATATTAGGTACATTAAGACTTGTAAGCCAGCAAATTTAGCAGTTAGTGCCCTAGAAAAATAAACTTTCTATATACAATGTCCTCATAATCAGAGAAAGCTGCTGAACATCAAAATGGAAGTAACAGTCAACTTAAAAGTAGAAAAGTCATTTAAAGAAATCTGACCCTCTAGTTTTTGTATATTTTCATCCATTTCAACTGTTTTCAACACAGATCTGAACATTTTCTCACATACATTGCATTCTACATGAGTAAGATTTAATTTATTCAAAGAAGAATCCTTGAGGCTTCGATTTACTTCATCAATGTAAAATAGAAGCTCCATTTTGAAAACACCAGCATTGTGAATTAGATACCCTTGAGCTAATATAGCTGGTCAATAAATACTTATTGAATGAATGAATGACCACAAAACACACAATATGTTCTTTGAAGTATCTTTCCAAATTTAGGTATCTAAAGAACAATGCTGAGAAAATGTATAATATGGCACCTATAAATTGGAAGCCCCATCTTTCAACTGTCATAAGAAATATTTTAAAATTACTCCTACATAGAGCAGAACTCAGTAGCAAATGTAACATCAAAGGCAGCGAATAAGATATCATGAAGCCTGTGATCTCGTCACATATTAACATGGAACAAACTTAAAGAGACATGGAAAATTTAGGACAATAATGAAAGAGTATTAAGCATCAAGTCCTTATAGGAAAAGGGTCAACAACAGCCAATTTTACAAAAAGATGGTAGGGGAAGTCTTATTAGAAAATATTATTATGTGGCTGGAGTTAAATTTATAGAATACATGAAAAAATAATCCAAAATTGAGACTATATGAATATTGCATGACTATATTGTAATCCCCAGCCGAAAATCAGGCTCTTCTGGGGGCTATGGGAAATCCATTGAAGTCAAGAAATCTGACAGGACAGAAACTCGACTGTTTCTTCTCACCTGTTATGATAATGGATCTGAATCTGCCATGGTAACATTCATGTCAAAACTAAATGAAAATGAAGTGACAAGGACTTGATGCAAATTTAACATTTCCTGTACATAAATATATAACTTCAGGCTAGAAGACACATTACCATTAGAAACTGAGAATACCCATAAAAGAAAATTTAACCCCCACCCCTAACCTCTAACAAAAGAAAACATGAAAATGGAACCATGTCCATGAGTCTTATCTTTGCAATACAGTTTTTTTTAATGATGAGAAAGAATCTCAATATGATCCATTTGATTAACTAGGCCTTGTGCTGTAAACAACAAGGCTATATTATGAACAACCCCTCATAATCCCTCTAGGGTCTCTTTATTACAATTGATCACTGTGAAAATTTTAGCAGATAGAATATATCTGGATGCCAATGAGGCATTTGCTAAAGCACCATACATTATCTTAAGGGAACAGCTAATACAAATTGGCTCCAACAAAAATACAAATAAATGGATCAAAAACTGGCTATCTAACCGTATACAGAGAGTAATCGTAATTGGTAGTCCGTCTAGTTGGGGAGAGGTTTCCAGTAGGGTCCCAGAGAGATCGATATTGGGTCCCATTTTGTTTAATATCTTTATAAAAAATCTGGAAGACAAAGTAGAGAATGTGCTAATTAAGTTCACTGATACTGCTAGATTGGATTGGTGGTCAAAGTTAGCTTGGATATAAATAAATGCAAATGGTCTTTCAAAGCTACAATAAAAGACCACAAAGTACCAGAATGGGATTTTTACTTAGTTTCTCCCTAATACATCATCTTTATCTCATTGTACAATCAGTACTGCTCAGTGCCTTTAAACTGCAAATAGCTCAAGTTTACCAGTAAAGACAAGACACAAACTCACAACATAAAGACAAGGCCCCAAGTCTCCATCATTCTCGGTTGCATATTACGTAACATGAAAGAGCAAAGTGAAAAGAAGCTTATGTGAAAGACCTTGGTGCATATTTAATTGGAAAACTATAGTCAATATGTACTATTATAGTATTAAATAGCAGTAGTATAGAAAAAATATTGGGATTTTTCAGAGAGGCAAGGGCCAGGACAGCAAAAGGGCAGCCATATATAATGAATTGGATAGAGAAAGAAAGAGGAGTGCATATATAGTTAGGTATTTCTACAAAAAAGAAATTGAGGAGGTATAAGAAAATCTGATCATCTGGAAGTAATTGAAAGATAAAAAAGATAAGGGTAGAAGAAATACAGTTAGGAAAATAAAGTAGGAGCAAATTAGAATCATCACAAGAAGAAAATGTTAGACTATTTGGGAAGAATCAATAGAGTTCTGTATAGAAATGTCATTTGTAGAACATTCCATTTATTGAAGTAGGATAATCAAAAAGAATTCTATGAAGCTATTAAAGGGCATAGGACTGATGAAAACTTAGATATTTTTCACCTCAAATAGCAGTATAAATCCAACTGATTAAGTAAGTGATACTTGCTTTGACTAAGGGTTCTCAGTTTTCATAGTCAGAAAGGGATTTTCGTGCATAATCAATTGAATAAAAGTGACTTGAAGATTTATTTGTAATTATTTTCTTTTCTGGAGGTTCAGTTGCTAATCCATTCCCATCTATTCAGAGCTGTGTGACTTTAAGTAAGTCATTTCATCTATTTAGGCATCAGTTTCCTTATCTGTAAAATGAAGGGTTGGAAGAGATAACCTCTAAGGTATCTTCCAGTTCTAGCATTCTATGTTCTTAGATTCAATCTAATTCTAATATTCTATTGTTTGAGCTCAAATAACATTGGAAGATTATTTCTCCCCTCCTCACCCAAAGTCATGCTATAATCTGGATGTACCAAAGCAGTAAAAACACTTAAATCAGGGTTTTTTAACTTTGTGTGTGTGTGTGTGTGTGGTGTGTGTGTGTGTGTGTGTGTGTGTGAGATGGGCCTTTCTGGCAGTCTGGTGAAGCCTACTTATGGAATCCTTCTTAAAATAGTTTTAGTCACTGAAGGAAATGCTAAATTTCCATTAGTTGTTAGTGAAAATAAAGACATAAATGTTTTTCCATCCAATTTCAGGAACTCTGAAAGTTAGCTATGAACTTCCTGGGGGCCTAGGGACTCCTCAGAAGCCCTTACTAAGATGACTGCTGGGAACTAAGGAACTTGGAAAGTTACTGCTTACATTTTGTGTACTCCAAGGAATGAAATTTCTTAACAAGAAATGGAGTGACATTATTCATGATAGTGATAACATTAACAGTAATGACAAAATCCTATATGGAGAATGATGGGAACTGCCTCTGACCTCCTTCCAGAATGAGATAAAATCAGTAATCAGAGGTGTTTGGAATCTCTGCACACTGTGACCATCACCTTTTAGCTAATTATGATGGACCCAGGTGTTCTTACCTCAGAAACAATTGGAAAACTTTGAAATAATTTTTCTATGGATTTCCTAGCAAACACATTTGAGATATGCTTCATTCAATTTTTTAGACTAACTACTACGGTGAAAAGCTACCAATCAAATCATCTTTTAGTAAAGACAAATATATATTTTGTTGGCTGTGGTATGTGAGGGACACAGACACACTGCTCCAGGAGGTTGTAGAGTACAGTTTAAATGAGGCAAGAATCTGCACTAATATCCTTTGTATCATGAGGAACCATTTAAAACAGAGTGTAGGATCAACAATAAAAGCCTAGCTTTGTTGAAATTCTGATCCAGGGAAATAAGCTCTCTCTTATTCTGGTAAATTTTAAGAACAGGCTAGATATCTATTTGAGAACCAGCCCCACCAGGGAACAAGATAGACTAATTCTTTTTTGATAGCGTATATGCCTTGATGGTGTATATGCTTGACTAATGATTCTGGGACTCTCTTGATTCTCCCTCTTAGTTCAATCGGTTATAAAACTATCAATTACTTTAAGCCTAAAATTAACAAATTAAACGCAAATAATCATGAAAAATGTAATGGACAAAAGTGACTGAGGATCATGCTATCTTAACTGATTTAGATTCATTCTAAAATTCTATCTTATGATATACTTGTTTTTTCTCTCAAGTAATACCATGTCTATAGTAGGGAAATTAAAGAGATAATTTGAAGTAACATTGTGGGATTATTTACCTTGTTGACATCCATGCGCAATTTCTCATTGTTGGCATTGGCAGCTTTTTCAGCTGCTTTCTTTTGACGCTGGGGTCCCCTACCAAAGAAGATGTAGTTGACCAATGCATACTCCAGCAGTGCCATGAACACAAAGACAAAGCACCCCATAAGATACATGTCAATGGCTTTCACATAAGGAATTTTGGGGAGAGTTTCTCGAAGATGAGTATTGATGGTTGTCATTGTGAGTACAGTGGTAATTCCTGAAAGAACAAGAAAATTACATTAAATATGCTAACTCAAATCCCTTGCTATTATTCTTTCTAGAATGTAAGATCCACGAGGAAAGAGACTGTATATGATTCTTCTTTGTATCCCCTATGGCATAGCTCTGGGCACAGAATGGGCATTTAAGTATCAGTTGAATTGAATCATCATATTTGGAAAAACTTTGTCATAAGACATGCTAAGACATTAATGATTTCTCCATCATCATGTCTTTCTCTGACAATCTGACATTTCGTCTCTGACAATCACACTGAGAATGTTCTGTTTGTAAGCCTGATTACCCTCAAAGAGGTTTGCAGGAAAGTATCATTTCCTTTTTCTTTGATCTCAGGAGCTCTGTGTATAGTAAATGATGTTCTTTGAGGAGCACAGTGGAACGTTCCTATGCTATCTTTTCCTTCACAGTTAAGTTTTTGTCTGATGCCGTTCTACTTCCAGTATAATGGTAATTATTTTATGTGATCTTGATATTAAATAAATTTGCTACTACCAAAATCCCCAGGAAGCATAATTCATTACTGTCTCTTTCCCCTTCTCTCCCCTCCCTCTGATGTAATAACTTGAACTTTCTTGAGAATAGGATAAGCTATGATGGCTTTGCTTTAATAGCATGCCTATTTTGGTACCTCCTGCCATCTAAACTCTGAACAAAATACTGTAGAGACTTAGAATTTGATCTTTTTTCATCTTGTAAGTTATTAAATATACACCATTATATTTTTCTGTTTCTCACCCATAAAATAGGTTGACCGATATGTGTTAAACAGGTACCATGAAATAATTGTGTGAATAACGTTATATGAAATATGCCTCAATAATAACATCAACATGATGGGACTAATTTCATTACCAAAAACCATAGGCTTAACTAATTCTGACATGAAAGAGTCTTAATTTGTGCTTAATTGATTTAATGCTGAATCAGATTGCCCAAGCCCTAACAGCCAAATCATCTTAGCATGTCCTGATCTGGTTTCATCATGCATCATAAGTTCAAGGCAAAGCAAATTCATCAAGTTACATGAAAATGGCCTACCTAAAGCTACTCGTGCTGCTGAGGCATCATAGTTAATCCAGAAGGAAACCCAAGAGAGAATAGTAATCAGAATGGAGGGCATGTAGGTCTGCAAGATGAAGTATCCGATGTTTCTCTTAAGTTTGAAGCTGAGGGACAGCCTGGGGTAAGAGCCTAAAAGAGAAGGTTTAGGAACCATCACTATCATCTGATATCTTTGAAGTGCCTGCTATCATTAAAATATAACAATCTGCTTGCACATCTCTTCTCCACACATAGTTATAGATCCTTATTGCTCTCGGGCAAGAAATGCTTCTTGTGTGAATAGGGGATCTGAGTTCAGAGTTTTTGATGAAGAAAAAGTGGTTTAGGTATAGTGAACTTGAAATGGGGGATAGCTAGGTTTGACTTCTGACTCCACACTGGTGACCCTGGGGAAGTAATAGCTCACATTTATATAGTGCTTACTATGTGCTAAGCATTGCACTAAACACATTAAAATCATTATCCCATATGATACTTACAACAATCCTGGGAGGTAGATGCTATCATCATCACCATTTTACAGAGGAGAAACTGAGACAAATGGATTAAATAGTTTGCCCGGGGTCACAAAGGTAGTCAATGTCAGAGGCTGGATTTGAATTCAGGTTTTCCTGATTCCAGGTCCTATGCTCTATATACAATACCACCTATCTGCAGTTACTTAACCTCTATGAACCTCAGTTTATTTAGCCATAAAATAATCCTAATAACTGTACCTGTCTCCTAGGAATGTTGGGAAATAAACAGTCTTTAACACCTTGCTATCTGAATTTGTTCCCACCACTCTGGAAATAACATTTTCCAAAGCCAGTAATGACCTAAGTCCAAAGAGATTTAATTTTTTGCTGTTGTTCCTTTCTGAAGCCTTTGACATTACTAACCATCCCTTCATCCTAGACAACCCTATTCCCTCAGCTTTCCTGACAATGAGTTTTTTTCAATTCTTCTCTGATTACTACTTTTTTTACTTCTTTGCCAAATCCTCTTCCCATTCTGACTACTTGAATATGGATGTCTCCTCTAAATTCTATCCTGGATCCTCTGTTCTTTCTATATTGGCTCTCCCTTATTGATCTCAATCATTCCCACTAAATTATTAGCTCTATAAATATCACCCATCTCTCTATATTTATCTCTTCTTCCTATCCTACAGGCTTTCCTCAATGATGTAGTCCTACATCATTGCCTACAGACATTTGGTAGATATCTCCAACTACAGCTTCTAACTTTGATTTTTGAAGATGGGAAGGAAAGGAGTAAGGAATAAATATTTATTTAGTGCCACTACATGCCAGGTGCTGTGATAAGTGCTTTACCAATGTTATCTCATTTGATCCTCACAACTACCCTGGTAGATAGGTGCAATTATTATCCCCATTTTATAATTGGGGAAACTGAGGCAGAAGTTAAGTGACTTGCCCATCTCATAGCTAGTGAGGAGCATGGATTTGAACTCAGGTCTTCCTGACTCCATGCTCACTGATCTAACTACTACATCACCTAATTGGCTCATCTTGGTCATTCAGGCTCCTACCCTTCAAATAATCTTTGACATTTCCTCTTCCCATTCCCAGATGTTCAATAAATTGCAACGTATATTGATCCTACCACTGCAATATTTCTCAGTTTTTTCACCACCTTGCTCTGGCCTTCATTTCATCTCATCTCACTGGTAGCATTAGAATAGTCTCTTAATTCATCTTGCTTCCTCCAATCTCTCATCTACTCAGTACATCCCTCTCATGCCAGCTTAGGTAATTTCCTTAATTCATGACTCTAGTCATATCACTTCTCTGTACAAAAACCTTTGGACATTCCCTACCTATTACAAAATAAAGTAGAGAATCTCTGGCATGTCACTGTAAGCCCTACATAGCATGATTTTGATCTGTCTATGCAATCTAACCTGACCCAAGTTTTTTAGAAATTTCTGTCTCCAATTATTGTTCAATGCCTTCCAAACCCAGCCTGTGCCTTATTCATTCCAGGCAAGAGTAAGAATTGGTGGTGATGGGATTTGGGGGGTATTACCCAAACATGGCACTGCATTAAAATGGCTCCAAAGACAAACTGATAGAAAAGGAGAAAAAACAAATATTCTGAAAGAAAGCTTCATATTGCTTCCTTAGGTCTAACTGAAGTTAAAACTAAACTAGAGAACTAAAGTTACAAGAGGAAATTCAGGGATGAAGGCATTGATGAGGGACATCCTAAAAGTTTAGAAGCCTGGGAGGAAGTGGAGATCTATTTCCCTCAATCCTTTCTCCAATCTGGCAGTCATTTGGATTTTGTCCACCATTATCATGCTGCAGTTTCAAGTAACTCTCTTGGACAAAAAGGAGTTGGAACATCACCAGAAGGAGAATGGTAAAGGCAGCTGACATTGGATCAGCTGTGTATACAAGATCTCATTTCCGTTAGACTTCCCTGGATCAGGATCAGGCCCATGCACAAAGAAGATGTTCCTCTGGACTGATTATTTGTCATTGAATGAATAGCTTAGGATTTAAAATCTTTTTCTGCACCCTTCTTCAACTGTGCAAAGAAAACATAAAACTATGATTATAAGACTGAGCTTAGCCATCAGAAACACTAATGTTGTTGATTTTCTTTTCTTCTTTGCACCAAGGGATGGTCTGACAAAGCTTCCTGGCAGTAGAGCAGAAAAGGGCTATTTAAAGAGGCACTGAGGTACTCTTAAAACACACACAATCAATCTGAATAAACAAAACAAAAACAAATTCTACCAGATTGGTCTTTTTATCAGCTGGCTTTTCTTGGCTTGATTCATTATCTGACATGGTGGACTTGCCCTTAAAACATTTTAACAGTTTCCACCAACTAAGCGTATTGAAGAATTATCACCAAGTATAGGGATAATCCAAACCAGTGTTTGAATTACTCGACCTCCAATGCTTCAAATAGTTCTAAAGCACCTCTCCCAAAGTTGAATCTAATCCCTGTACTCAAAGCAGTGGTAGGTTAAAATATTTAGGTTGGCAGAAATTTTTCCATTTTCCCCACCTCCACTCCACCACAAATCTTGTCCCAAAATACCCTCTTGATTTTTTACTTTTGACAATTTTATTACTCTTTACTTGTTCTACTTGATTGAAAAAAGAGGTCAAACTCAAAATAGTGTGGAACTTTTGTACAATAATTCATCATAGAGGAGACTGGAATTTTTAGTGTTAAATGATTTTTAAATATTCCTTATTATCAGTAGAATTCATTCATCTTGTATCCTGTCTCCTCTGATACCACCAGAGAGTTACATGTATCCACCTCCTTCCCATCCCTTGTAGAAGATACCCTTTCCCCTTTCCCCTTTTCATCAGTACCAACCTGTGGAGAAAACAACCTTCTTGGTAATCAGTTTGTAATCAACAATAGAGAACTGTGGCAATTCTATCTTTGTCACTCCTGTCACTGCATTATCATCTCCACGCCAGTAAAATTCTATGTCATCAGTTGTATAGCCATCTGTTAAAAGAAAATAAGAAAAAATATATTCTTAATACATAACATATTTCACTGAAACCCCATGACAAGAAGGGGGAAAAAAACAGTTAAGCTGTTAGGATAGGATCTGTGCAGAGTCATATTCCTTCTAAGTACAAATCACAAAATCTGGGGCCCTTTTGCCATGGGGTATTATAACATCTGGCCATCAGCTTTCATGTGCCTGCAGAAGTGTTTTTTCAGTCCCAATTTTTGAAATCAGAAAACAAAACCCAGCTGTCTTTGTTTCAGTTTGAAGAGCAAATGTTTATATGACAGTACTTCTAGGACGTGTCCCATAATCAAACGAAAGGTAAAAATACCTTTTCTTTGGCTGTATTTCTTATTCCTTTTGTTTTAAACTATATTTGTGATTTGTTTGGTATGGGAAATTTTCAGTGAGGAACTCTGTACTAATGCTCATTGGCAGTGCTCTCAAACTTAGGATCTTAGAGCAGAGGTTCTTCCCCTGAGGTCCATGACTTTCAAAAATATTGATAACCTTATTTCAATAGAATTGGTTTCCTTTGTAAGCCTATGCACTTTATGTTATGCATTGAAAAATATTATTCTGAGAAGGGCTTCATAGGCTTCACCAGACTTCCAGAGGGATCTGTCACACACACACTCACACACACACACACACACACACACTCTCATACACACACACACACACACACACACACACACACACACACACAAACAAACAAAACTAATTAGGCCTTAGAGAAATGCCTGGAGGTACTGAGAAGTTAAATGGAATACTTCAGAGGTAGAAAGATGTAGTAGTAAAGACTTGGTGATGAAGTAAGTCCTTTGACATCAACTGTCTCTCTACATGCTTGTAACAACCCTGTAAAGTAGGTAGGATAGGCATTGTTCTTTTTCTGCAGATGAAAACAAGGCACAGAAAGATCCTAAGGGACTTGCTTAACGTCATTCACTTGGTATCTGCTAGGAATAGAATCCAGGATTTCTAACTACTGGTTCTATGTTCTTTCTAGGGAGATAGAATGATCCCATGGAAAGAATGCTAGATTTGGAGTCTAAAGACCTCAGGTTCAAAGCAAGCTCTTCCGCTTAGTACCTGCATGACCTTGAGCAAGTCTCTTTCTCCAGGCCTTAGTTTTTTCATCTATACAATAATGGGATTGGAATAGGTGACACCGAAGATCCCTTCCATCGCTAATCCAACAATCCTGGGAGCTTTATTGCCTCCCAAGTGACTGTCCCACTTCCAAAAAGGATAGGAATCACTGTCTTGAGATCCTAGGAATCAGACATAAGAAATAGCTCTCCTTTCTAGTTGATGAAGTGCTTTCCTTCATAATACTCAATTAAAACTCTATTTTAATGTCTCATTGTGACATGATTCTGGGCCCTCAAAGACCACAGCAGGGGTGTACAAGCTCTGGTGCATGTTCCCAATGAGAAGGGCTCTATGTCTGGAACCTAAGAACTAGCATAGCTCTAAACACCCATTTTGTTTTAAACTATGTTTGTGATTTGTTTGGTATGGGGAATTTTCAGTGAGGAAAGGGGAAGGGGGAAGCATGAATCAGGTACCATGCTAAGTGCTTTACAAACATTATCTCCTTTGATCTTCCCAACAGCCCTTTGAGGTAGATGCTATTCTTATCCTAACTTGAAGGTTGAAGGAAATTGAGGCAGGCAGAAGTTGTATGATTTGGTCAGGGTCACGTAGTTAGTAAGTGTCTGAGGCCGCATGTGAACTTTGGTCTCCTTGACTCCAGGTAGTGAGGTGGCACAGTGGATAGGGTTCTAGGCCTGGAAGACTCTTCTTCCTGAGTTGAAATCTGACCTCAGGCATTTATTAGCTGTGTGACCCACAGCAAATCATTTAACTATGTTTGCCTCAGTTTCTTCACCTGTAAAATGAAGTGGAGAAGAAAATGGCAAACCACTCCAGTAGCTCTGCCAAGAAAACCCCAAAATGGAGTCACAAAGAGTTGGACATGACTGAAAAATTACTTAACAACAACAACAACAACAACAACAACAACTTATAGATTCCAGGTCCACAGGTCTATGTCTGTGCTGTCTAGTTGCCTTCACTAAGTACCACAAAGCTTACTGTCACAATATTGGCCACCAGGTCATTTACTTATTTGTCCATTCATTCATTCATTCATTTGTTTGTTTTGATCATGGCAACTCATAAAATGTGAAAATATTCTTCAGGGATCTTCCAAATTATAAAAATTCCCATAACAACAAAGTTAGATTGGTAGTATAAGTATTATTATCCTTAATTCACAGATGAAGAAACTGAGGCTTAAAAATTTAAAGAAGCTTGCTTAAGTTCACTCAGTTTAGAAGTGACAGAGACCAAGATACAATAAATATCATGTCTTCTGAGTACAAATCTATTGCTTTTTCCACCATATAACACTAGTGTTAAATGTAAAAATTTCAGTTATGAGGTAGTAAGATGAAAACATTTAGGAATAGCAGTTCCAAATAAGATTTTCATCAACTGTGTTTTAAAATGTTTCAAATGTTGGTGGTAATCATATATGAAATGATGATTTTATTTTGTAACTTCATTCTAATTTTAAATTGTTCCCCCAAATTCAGAATATACATTTGGTTCTACATTTTTTATTAGTCTAAAAACAGAATGCATTCACTAAAATGGGAAGAAGATTTAGAGAACACAATACAAAAGAAACTTTAAAAAACAGACTCTGTGTAATAGGAACAAGAATTTCCTGAAACAGCTTCCTCCCTCTAGGCAACCTGATTGGCCATAGTTTCCTGATTTAGCTTTTCAATTTGCATGCATAAAAGGTCCCAGTCCTGAGTAGTGGGTGTCTCTCAGACTGGCTGTGTGCCTGAGACTATGCAATTCACCATCTCCTGAGGATTGACTGACAAGACATGTTTCAGTGGAAACAGAGTGGGGTGGGGGTTGGGGTAAAGGGTGGAAGGTGGAGATGGTTGCATCTAAAGAAACTGTCTCGGTTTCCTTCTTGTAGATACTTGCTGGGTCAGAGCAAAGTACACCTCTTCATTCGTTAATTGTCTAGTGACTTCTTTTAACATTTAACCTGAACAGGGAACACGACTTATAGCCACGTATGCACAGATCACAACACAAAGTCCCAACAATATTCTTGTCGGAGAGTATGCCTCAATCTACAGTTAAAAATAGAGAGGTCAGTGAATATGAAAAACCTGGAGACTCAGCATAATATCAACTAGAGAGATTTAGATCTCTATTGACATAAGCAACTTGGAAAATTATAGTACTTAAAATTACATACGTATAAAACATGTATATATGTTCATACATAAATGTGCATGTATACACGACAAATACACATATGACTAAAATAAACATATGTAAAATATTCATATGCATTCCGACACATAAACATATACAATATACAATATATTTTATGTGTGTATGTGTATGTACATATATCTGTATATATATATATATATATATATATATATATATATATATACACACACACACACACAAACACACACAGAGAATCATAAGATCTTAGCACTGGAATGGACCTCAGAGATCATCTAGTCTAAGTACCTAGTTTTACTGAGGAAGAAACTGAGGTTCAATTTGTCTAAGGCTCATAATAAGATTGTGGTAGAACTGGAATGAGAACTATACTGGGCTACTTCTTTCTGAGTTTGTTACATATTGGTGATGGACATCTGAATAGAAAATTAAAATAAACCAGCTTTCTAATTAAAGAATAGAAGTGTTTGTAAAAATATCCAAATATTTCATATCATGCAGAGAAAACATCTGTATTTTTATATATATTTTTCATTTTATCGAGATGTTTAATGTCATGAAGGCACAGCTGTCATATTAAACACTGCTAATAAATTCCTAGAAAATTAATCTAAAGTTACTCCAGAATATATTTATATTTGCTATTGATAAAAAATTTTTTGATAGTGATGAAAATTTAAGTTCAGAGACTTATAGACCCATTCTGTCACTTTAAACAAAACCTATCTGTCTATTTCTTTCATAATACACACATTTATGTAAATTCTAAGGTGACTGAAATGAAAGTGAAAGAGCTCTACAAAGTGAATGGAAACTGAAGACAAAACACTTGAACATTATTCTGATGTCAAAGGTAATGGAAGCCCTTTGGACAATGACCAACACTTCATGACTACTACTCATTCAACAGTCTTCTCTCTCCATCCTCAATTCTTATTGGATCATTCAACTGTGGAATGTTGCACAAGGTAGGAAAACAGCTGCACCATCATCAATTCCAAAAGATGAGAGCTCAGCAATTCATAAGGGTACAAGAGAGGTCAAGTACAGAAGGCTATTTGACAGAGATGATTAGTTTAACTCAGGCTCCATATTGCTTTTCTCCTATAAATCTGTTCTACAGCACCTATGAATTAAGCATCCTCTAAAAGTGAATGATGCTTTTAAAATTCTAAGGGAGGTGCTCTGGCTTTCAGTAGGATGGTAGATAGATGAGCTTTAAGAATAATGGCAAAAGGGAAAAGTAATGGGATTTCTTAAAAAGGTTTGACAGTGAGGACATACTGCATTTCCTCATTAACCTACTGTGATTTAAATACACCTCATATTTTATTCATGGGGTTCAATACTGAGTCATTACATAGTTTTGAGTAATTTTGTGTTATTACTGTTAGAAACTTCCCCCACATATTGAAGTGGTTGGCATAAAGAAGAAAACTCCAATTGGAATACATATTCAATTAGTTACAGGAATGTTTTAAAGAAGCTGCTATAAGTCTTTGATCAGTAAAGATAAAAATGGAAATGTACAAACACAGTAACTATGCAAGAAATTTAAGTTATACATTTCTTCCCTTAAACATTTGTATAAAAAGCTATTATTTGAGATTTTAGGGGAAGAGATGTCATTTTGCTGAGGAACGTAATTGGAAATGTTCAGTTGATTGTAATACTATCTTGTTATGTAACAAAAAGA